AATACAGCAATGCGCACACACACACACACACACACACACACACACACATAAATGTAGGTATTACTTTGCTTTTATCTGGCGCTGCCTGTTTTGATTCGGTGATTCGTAAGTAAACGTCCAAGTTGTAACGAGGCTAAGTTTGAACTTTTCGAAAGTGACACCTCGTGCTGCATTAAAAATAAAAGTCACTCTTTGCTCGAGTTAGTGAAGCTTCCACTTTGGAAAAATTAGCTTTTATCTGTCACACGTTTTGCTGAGTTTAGCTTATCACAGGTTTGTCAGTGTCGTTCATATGTCCGCCCATAACTAACAAGAAATTACAGGAAAGAAAAAGCCAAACATGTATGTTTAAGGTCATTTAGACACAGAGTCGCCATTACAGAGTTTGTCCACCAGAGAGCACTGACTGGTTTATTTCTCAAACGCTCAGTGCACATCGTAAATAACAAAGGGGTCCTGATAAAATATTTGTTTTTGTTCTGGGCTCGTGTTAAAAATGCATCGTTGGCCAATATGTCTTTATTAAAATTTAAAAATCTCAAAACACTGATTTTGGTATTTGCCTCAAAAATTCAATATAAGTCAGATTCTACTGGGAAAAAAAAAAAATTGTCCCTGCCTGAAGAATATGAATGTACACTTTGGATTCAGGTGAACAATATGTGGTCCTTCCAGTCTAGTCAAAGTGTGTAGAGAGAAAATAATTTGTAGTGTTGTGATCTGAGGGTCTTGAGAGGAATTTGCTGAGCCCCAAGGTGTGTCGTAACAGGTGTTGTTGGGGCTTTTCCTGCCCTTTCTGGCCTCTTTCTGTTCACTGGCAGCGGGGTTGTGGAGCCGATTGTTTGGCTGTTGCCTCGGATACGTATCTTGTTTTCTGAATGGCAGCGTGTCAAGGCAGGCAGAAAATGATCACTCAGTCCAAAGCGTTCCTCGCTGCAGAATATATGCATGTATAACCTCACCTCTCAGTTCTGGAGAAGAGGCTGGACTGTGTTCAAGTAAGAGCCTCAAGTCATAGTTGACTCATAGTTAATTTCGCTAAAACACACAGCAGACCCCCTCCGCTAAATGCAACATAATCACTGAGGATGAACTATGTGAAACTGTGTGAAACCCTCTGCCTGCTGCCTTGACCCTATTCCAGCTGACCTTTTCAAGAGCACTTATATATATTGACCTTAAATACACTACTGCTTTATGAATTCCTGGCATTTTCCCCGACTCTTTTTGACCACAACTCAAAATAAACTAACTTAGACCCCTCCTGTCTTAGTAATTACTGCCCTATCTCAAATCTACGTTTCCTGGGCAAGGTTTTAGAGAAGGAGGTGTTTTAAACACGTAAACAAACACCTTTCTGAGAACTTTATTCTTGAACATTTTCAGTCTGGTTTGAGAGCGACCCACAGCACAGAGAGTCGTAAATAATGTCAGATTAAATGCGGCTAGTGAATTAAATAAATCTGTCTTCATTCTCCTCGACCTTAGCGCCGCCTTCGACACTCTTGACCACAAACATTGAATATGGTGTGACCCAAGGCAGTGTCCTAGGACCTTTGCTGTTCTCAGTCTACTGTCAGTCTGCCGCCACCGGATCCGTAATCTGTCGGCGTGGCGTGAATTTTCACAGCTACATGTCTACATGAGGCCAGATGACACAAATACCCAATTGGGCCAGCCGTTAATGAGTAGATGAGCAAGAACTTCCTAAAGCTAAATGAAGACGAGACTGAGACTAACTACTTTCATGTGGTCAAGCACTAATTGATTACAATTCGCTCACCCAAAATGTATTTTAATGATAGACACAACCACACGGAGGAAAACCTCTGTGTCATTTTAGATTGTGACTTTACAGCCCATTTTAATTCTTTGACCAGAGGCCTGCAGTTTCTTTAAAATGAGAGATCATATAACTTCTATTTATGCAGCCTACACTGGCTCCTTGTATATTTTAGAACCGATTTCAAAGTTCTCCTCTTAGTTTTTGAAGCACTAAATGGCCTAGTCCCCTCTTATATCACAGACTCCCTATCGTTCTGTGATCCTCCACGAACCCTAAGATCCTCCACAGCTGCTCTTTTAACTGTTCCCAAGGTCGCCACAAAAACCTTCGGGGATGCTGCTTTTAGCCACTACGCCCCCAAAAATATGGAAAACTCTGCCTTTAAATATTAGAGTTGCTGACTCAGTGGACAGTTTTAAACAACAACTCAAAGCGGATGCTTTTAAGTTGCAGCTGTCTGTTTTAATCTTTCTAGGGAAACTGTGTTAATGCGTTTTTTATAAATAGTAACACTCATTTTCTCCCTTCCTTCTCATGTATGTGTTTGGTTTTAAACCTGTTTTTGCTGCTGAGCTGTAAAGCACTTTGAGCTGCAGCCTTTGCATGAAAAGTGCTATATAATTTATTTATTCATTCATTGAGGTTTATCAGGCTTTACCTCACCTTACTCATGTGATATTGTGAATGGCAGTTTGTAGCCTTTGTATTCTTATGTGTTTTTTGTTTTTTTTTTGTTTAGTTTTTTTGCCCGCCTCTGGTTTGTCACATCTGACTCACATTAACATACTGTATGTAAAATGTGTCTCAGAAAAGAGGTTTGTTGTCATTGCTTCTAGACAGAGCTGAGCAGGAGACTTCCTCACACAGGCCAAGTCTCACCCTGCCAACCAGTTTTGCTCTTGGCAACTCAGTCTGGATTCAGCTGCAACATTTTTTCTTCAGGAAAGGAGAGGACTAACAACTGCATGTCTGACTGATTCCTCATGTGTATCCTCAGGAGCAGCGGGGAAGCTAACGAGGAAGAGACATGACATCAAGTCAGCCACAGCTGTTAATATTTGTAAAGGCACTTACAGTTAAAATATCACTCGGTTTGATGCCTCGATGCTTTGCCGCAGACGATGTCAGAGAATTAAACAAAAGATAACGTGACTGCTGGAAAGCTACAAACACAAGAATGAAAGTTCCAGATAAAAGGAAAGAAATGGATATAAATGAATGTCAGTCCAGAGGAGCAGATGTAAGAAACAAAGGCAGCCATTGTTTGGTCTGGAGATGCCTCACATGTTTCTAGGCCAGGGGCCCAGACTGTGCAGCTTACCTGTGCTTTGTGGCTTCGTAAGAGAATGGGACAAAAACAGAGCTGTCAGGCGGTACAAAAATATTATCATTTCCTAACATAACATACAGTATCTGCTCTGCAACTGGCAGTAGTCTCAATCATGTGAAAGGGAACAATAATCAGCACGGCTGGCCCCAGTTCAGACTTCCAGCATTTAGCCTTGCATGAGCTGGGCTGCGGGCCACCTGCCAACAGCGATACTACCTTGAATCAAGGAAGCAAAGATGTGCCTTGGCCTTCCTCTGTCATCCAGTTAAAGGTTTTATAAGGGTTGCTGCACATAAGAAGTGCCTGTAATATTTAATGTAGTGCCACTTGGAGGGAGGAAACATAAAGTTTTTCATTACTTCTGCCACTAACAGCATTTGGCAGTTGTATATTTCATGTATCACCGGACATTTATGTAGTTAACTGCACACAATTACCTGCAGTAATATCCCATGGCTTTCATCCAAAGAGTTGTGCTCTGCTCTGCAGAGGAGTGGACATGAGTCACATGACAGGGACTCGAGACTCGAGTGTTGAATCTAATCCGGTCTAAAGACTCGACATGACGAAATCAACAGACTTGGAACTGCTCCGACTTCAACACCAATAAATCGTGAGTCATGAAAAATGAAATGGCAGTACATTTTTCTCAGAGTACATAAAGACTTGGGACTTGTTGCTCTTCACTCAGGACTTGACTTAGGATGTATTGGTCTTTACTTTGGACTTGTTGGTCTTAACTTTGACATGAGAGACATTGGTCTTGTGCTAGACTTGCCTAGACTTCACTTAGGATTTGATCTGTGACTTGTTGGTCTTGACTTGTGACATGATTTGAGACTTGTTGGACTTGACTTTGGACCTGTGTCTTGACCTGAGACGGTTTGGGATTTGCTGTGCATGGCTGGTAACTTTTGGGACCCAAGTTTGGATCTGTTTGTCTTGACTTAGGATGTGACTTGGGACTTGAAGGTATTTACTTGAGGCTTGTTGGTCTTGATTCGGGATTTGTTGAGTTTGACTTGGGACTTGACATGAGATTTGTCTCTTTGGACTTGGGATTTGTTGATCTTGATGTAGGACTTGACTCGGGATTGCATAGCCAACATTTTATGCTCAAAACTTGGAAAATAATGTCTTTGTCCAAACTCTTTCATATCCAAGAAACATAGAACTAACTTAAAAGACAACAATATACATGATTTTAAACACTGTAATTGAATTGTGCGATATAGGTTTTATTTGCATAGACTCCAAAAGTGTGAAAAAAGTACTGGAATGATTATATTCATTACGGTTAGTGAGTGACGGCGTTTTAGTAGGTTAGAAATTACTGCCTCCGTCAGAGTCATTTCCCTTTTTCTAACTCTAGAGTGACAATTACTCATCTCCAAACAAGAAACACATTGACATTTTTCTGACTTGAGTCTGTTCAGTCTCAACGACTCCTCTAGTGCTTTCCAGGAGCCTGGGGGGAGGAGCGGGGGGGCAATTATTTTATCAAGGCTCCATCAAATTTATTGGAGTAACACAAACTTTTAATGCACATTCTTCATTCTGACACATGCAGAGTATTTTATGTTTGTTTTATATGCCCACATAATTGGCCAGGAACATTAAATTTTGAGAACAATTAATGTTTGTTTGTAAAGACCAGCAACAATTCAGGGTATTGATGTCATTTTTATAAATGATGCATTTGCTTCTTTTACAGCGGGAGCCCGTGGAGTTTTAACCATTCGCTGTGCAGTTTGTCACGACTGACTTTTTGTCCGTCAAAACCCTTTTCTCTTGTCATCGCTCTTGTCCGCTACAGGTGTAATTCTTTATAACGGTTATAGATGTTGAGTTTAAACACTTGAACCTGATTTCTCCCGCTCACAGTGATGAATTACGGAAAGAGGCACGCCAGTTAAAGAAGGAGCTGCAGGCCATAAAGCAAAGGAAAGAAGAAAGTTTAAAACCTGCAGTGGATGAAGTCAAGGACGGTATGTGAGCAGCTTTTTATTATATATCCCCTGTATTTACTGATTGATGTGTATGACTGTCACTCATTATACTGTGACTCTACTGGTGTTTTGATAATATACTATGCAAGTCTTTTACCACAGCTAAATTCGTTTCAGTGACGGGGTTTTTTTTTTTCACCACGCAGCTCTAAGTGTGAACAAAGTCTCTAAGAAGGTGGTCTGTGCCACATTCCCTGCTAATGGACACTTAAGACAGGCAACCCTCTGATTTTGTCAATTAGTTGCAGACGTCTACTTTTTTTTCCCCCCCAAGGGTCTGCATTTTTGTGTTACAGCTCGGGGAAAATTGCAAGGGGTAAAAATTGTTGAGTGGCCGCCATAGTTGCACATCAAACCCCTTTGTGTGTTTGTTAGTTTTCAGCCTTGGCCAGTGTGAAAAAAAAAAAAAAAAAAAAATCTGCTCCCACATCTCCTCGGGTCTCCACCACACTCCAGTCTGTCATGACGCCGTCAATCTTTGGATTTTTGCTGATGCTGAAACACATTTTTGAAAATTACAAAAACCACTTAGGCACAGAGGTTAGCTTGAGGTTGTGTATGTATTGTTGTGCAACAAAACACAATAGTATGCAGGGGAGGTGGGAGGTGGGGGGTGGGGGGTCTGCGGGGACCAACCTAACTGTGGGATTACCACCAGCCAAAATGTACTGGAGACCATGATGGGATTTTGTTGCTCAAACATTGTTTTTGTCTCCACAAACACTGATGGTTTTATGTTTTTGAACGCAGACACTGAGCCCACTCATGACTTGCCGATGATTGGTTCAAGATTGTCGTGGTGAGTTTAGGTGAAAGAGCACGAAACACAATCATGACATTGTGCTTTAATACTAAGATTAACCGAGATCCTGTTGGTGTCTGGGACTTCGTGTGTTGCCCTTAGTGATATCTGCGCAGAGTTAAGCTGTTTCTACAAACATCCTAAGCAGAAAGAGGCCAGTTATAAACTCAACTGTTGAGGTAGTAACAGCCACACATTGTTATACCGAATGGCGACGAGCCTAAGCTCCTCCATTATCTTACAAGGTATTTAGACTCTGCCAGGGACTTTTGTTTTGTGCTTCTGCTGCAGCTCAGCCAGAGGCGGGAGTTTCTTTTTAAGGGTTCCTCATTACATTTCTGTGTTGGAAGCGAAAGTTAATTCCATTAGATGTGATTCTTAGATGTCATGGGCCAATGGCCTCTGCAGGGGAGACAGATGTCGCCTCAGTTGCTATAAATCTCGAAGCTCAGCTCAGCCGCAGAAGAAGAACGCTCGGGCGAGGGCTCGTTTGCTCTCGTCCCACTGGAGAAGCCGCACAGACGCATTAAGGATCACATTGACACTGTTGTCCCTTAAAGCTTAAATCATCCTCCTGGTTCTGCTCCGACCTCTTCGTGAAGGTTAACCTCTGCTCTCGTTTCTCTCACACGCCTCTTTAGTTGGTCAGCGCAGGTTCAGCGGGAATACACGAAGATTTTAGGGCGGGACCGTAACGGCTATGTTTGTCTCTGATTAATTTCTCAATTATTAGGTTTCTAGAATGTCAGAAGATAGAAAAATGAAATAATTAAATCTTAACATGTGAGAAGCTGGAACCAGAGCTAAAAGGCTATAAATAAAATAGCATATACAACACCTTATATTTTCAAAAATAATTGTTCTTTAAACTTGAACACAAGCTCACTTTAACCCCTTAAAAGACACAAACCTGAAAATAATGCACTCCAAATAAAAAGGTTTCTGTTCTTCAACCCTTCAGCCCTGATCTCCTGCGAAAAGCAACTCTTTAAATTTTACAACCAAAAAGTCAGAATGAGTTAAAGAGACACTGAACCAAAGGTACAGAGATTTAAATGAAAAGGGGGAATCTAAGGTCTCTAATAGAACATTCTGTGATGAAAACACTTTGGAGCCACAGACACGAGTCTGAACCAACTCCGTGTCAACAGCTGTTGCAGTGATATGTGAATCCTAAAATGCTTTGCACAGAGAGAATCAGGAGACTTTGAGCTTTCAACCAATGGATAATTTGTCAAGGTTGTGTGACGAATGAGTCCAGTACAGATCAAAACACACCTAAAACAGCGCTGCCAAGGCCACGGCGTCCCACAGGTGGGATGGTGTATTTTAAAAGGCTAGATAAAGTTTATACAGTATATATATTCTGTCTGCTTCCATTTTAATACGCACAGTTTTGCCGTTACTCAAGCTGAGGCACGACTGCAGCTACTGAAGCTAATGCGCGACCTTTTTCCTGTAGTAGAACGCTTTGTTGCACCTGTGACCACACCCACCAGTGATGTCACTGGGTCCTGCAGCACACCAGGGTTCACACTCAAGGGCCAAATATCGCGATATACGATATTATATATCTGTATCAAGGAAGCAATATACACATTTTTATTATAATTTTCTTTTTGATATTATGAAGAATATTTCATTTAGCGGGAAATATCATGATCTTCCATATTTATGAATATCACGTCTAGAGCACACCTGAACGTCACTGCATCAAGGTGAAAGTTAAACCACTGGATTTTGTGCTTAATCGGTCTGGATTCCGTCTATAGCTGAAATAATTAGTCGATTAGATTAACCAACTATTCTGAGCACTTTTTTCCTGCTTCTTCAATGTGAGGATTTTCAGTTTTTCTCAGTTTTTACATCTTTTCAAACTGAATATTTTTAATTGGACTAAACAAAAACTTTAAAAAAATTATTTGATTAATTGATGACGAAAAATGAAATTGTCAGTTGTCATCTATTGTTCCCAGTCCATGGGTAAAATAAACACAGAGGACGAAACCTAGAACTGGTGTGATTTTTCTGCAGTTATTATATTATAAGCCGAATGGCCGGTCCGTGTCTAATCCTCATCCCCCTCCACCAGCAGCCTCCTTATGGCTGGTATGTGCATAACACTGTACTTGAGTGAAAAGCAAATTGTCTCTTCTGAATTCACCATCAGCTAAAGCACACAGTTTATTTTTTATTAATTCTTCTTTCTTTTTTTCTTTTCTTTTTCTTTTTCTTTTTTTTTTTTTTTTACCTTTTTTTGAATTATTTTTTCAACAGTCATCACTTCACTTTTCATCACATAAATTACAGCATGTTCCTGCAGTCTGGTTTTCTCTTTCTTGGCATGACCGCTGGGTTACCGAAGCCAAAAATAAGAGGGGCCATTCTCAAACCACTGTCCATTCAATACCCACCCTAAATTATGTGGCAACAGTCTTTAACCCATTTAGGTATTATACAGGTTATGCTTGTGTGCTGTGGATGTTTTATTACACTGGTGTCAGTCATGTTGTTGGTTTAGAGGAAATGTTGCAGCATGGTGGTTTTGGAAACGACAATTACCTGCGATTAAGTTCAGCGTGTTATTTTGTCTATTCAATGTACCGTTTGACAGATTTTGACCGGGTTAGTTATTTTCACTGGACACTTGTGAAATATTTTCTTATGTTAACAGTCTTTTTTTTTTTTTTTTGCTGCGTAATTGAAGATGGATCGTCGGTGTTGACCTTGAAGCACTAACTGACAGCATTTTTTGATGTGTTTTTGATTGATGATCACGCCGCAGTGCTGCTTTGACTTCTCTGTCGAAACCGTTGATTGTTTGACAGAGTACGGGGGAACCTTTTATCCCACAGAGGAGGCGTTTAGTCCGTCCACAACAGCCGTCCGTTGCTACAACACCAGCGGCTTGATTTGTAGCTCTCTTGAGCCCAGGTGACAGGAGAGGGCAGGAATGTAGTTAGAAAGGCCATCAAACCCAAAGATAGTAGTTAGCGACAACAGCTGGAGCAGTTGATGTGTGTTCCTCATGTAGGACCTCGGGGCGTCATCAGTCAGCATCCAGCATGTCACAGGCTGCAGCAGAGGTGACTGGGGGAGAGATGGAGGAAGATCACTTGTTGGTCTCATAAATCAAATCAAAAAAAAAAAAAAGAAAAAAAGAAGAGGTTTGCCCCTACGAGCAGCGGAGCAGACTTCCATGATGACTCCACGTGGGGAAAGTGAGGCGTTTAGATTTCCAGGGTGTTTGGAAATCTTTCTCAGTATTCGGAGCATTCGCAGAGACGCAAGAGTAATTGCATGGTTTCCTTAAATGACAGGCAGCCTGAACGCCCCGCAGAGCTGAGGCTCTTCATCGTTCACTTACGTTCCTCCTCATGTGAACTTATTTTTCCCCAAGATACAACTTTTTTTTTTCTCCTCAACAAGAAGTGTGACTTCTGTCAGAGGACTTATTACAGAATCGCTATGAATATCTTTCTGTTTTAATTTGTGTGTATTGAAGTCATTTATTAGCTTCACTAAAAGTCTTGTTAAGTTTACACCGAACACAGATTAAACAAACAAGATGTAAGATGTTACCTAGTGAACTTTGGAGGTTTTATTTACCTTTGGACAGAGTCAGGCTAACTGTTCCCCCTGTTTCCAGTCTTTAGGCTACGCTAACCTAAAACTAAGCTAAGCTAAGCTAACCGTCTCCTGGCTCTAGCTTCATGTTTATCAGACAAATATAAGAGTGGTGTCTATCATCTCATCTAACGCTTGGCAAGAAAGCAGATTAACATATTTCCCCAAAATATGGAACCCATCCTTTAATGTCTAAGCGTCTGCGCCTTTAGCGTAGAGACTGAAGCTGAACTGCAGTTTCATCAGCACCATATTTGTTATTGTAAAAATGAAAGATACGCAAGTGGACTTTGTATATTTATAATAAATTCTGTTTGTGAGTGACAGATGACTTGTCTGTCACATGGCCAGTCCAAGTTTTTTAAGTTTTTTAAAATTTATTAATTATTTCAATTCATATTTTTCTCCTTAATAATGTTTTCTTTCAGGTTTTATTTTTGTAGAGTCTCTAGTTTTTGGCGCAGGCTGTGTAACCTTGGGTTAGTTCAGGTTTGTTATGTCTTTCCAACAGGCTTTTCTGTATCTTATGATTTATTTTTCTCCCCTGTGTTTCATGTTGTTGTATTTCTTCTGTAATTTAGTCTTTATTAGTAGATCTTGTTCAGCACTTTATCTTTTCACAGTCTAAGCTAATGATAAAGGGCTGTATAAATAAACACACATTAACAGAAACTCATAACATTGCAGCTCTTGTTAAATAACAAGCTGCGAACTCCGGTGTTTTCTCTGTTACATCATTTATTTTGTGCGGCTGAATGTGTCAAAGCGTCCAGTCAGAGGTGGGCTCAGCTTGGCCGGCGAGGTGACGCTGTCCCCCCCCCCTGGGGGCCAGGCGGGCGCATGTGACATCACATTTTGTTGTGGAAAGACGGTGCTCCAGCAGCCAGCAGACTGTGCTCACTGTCTGCCACTCTGTGACTTCACAGCCCGCAGTGTCTAAGCTGGGAGATTTACAGAAGCACATTAACTGCATGAGACACCAATGTCAGCACGCTGATTGTCTCTGTGTTCAGCCATGATGAGAGACGGCTTCACAGAGGACAGTTTGGTGGAAAATTATTCCCAGCGCTGCCTTCACTCTGTCTGCATTTAATAACACACAGGTCATACCTCTTCGTTTGTAACACCAGTCTGCTGTCGTGTACGTCAGTCCAGCTTTTGGCCCATGTAGAAAATGTTTTTATTTTCTCGATTAAGAAACGCAGTTTACAACCACAGAAGATGAATAAAAACTCATTTGAGAAGTGAATATTTGCCTTTCGACATGTTCAAATCAAGTCAACTTTTTATTTATAGCGCGCCAAATCACAACAGAAGTTATCTCAAGGCACTTTTTAAACAGAGCAGGTCTAGATGTCCCCTCTTTATAATACTGTTAACGGAGACCCAACAATTCCCAACATGAATTAGAGGCTAAACAGCATATATTTGAGAATATATGGAGGCCCTTCATTAATTATGTTAAGGATTTAGCTTTAACAGATGATCGAGTGACTATTGTTAAGACAAGATTATTTATTTATTATTCCTTCCTTCCTATATGCTGATGTATACAGTATATTATTCAAATGCTAGAGGCTGTTCTTCATGATGTACTTCCACTAGTTGTTGCAGCTCTACTTCCGTATCAGACGTAATTCTAAAAAAACAAAAACCTTTTATAAACACAAGTTTGTACAGTCTCTCTCCCCTGTTAACATCTCATTAACAGCAGTTTAGTGACTTTCACTGCTTTCCTCAAACCAAGTGAATAAAGTGCACATATGCTCATGTGTCGTGACTCTGCTGAGGATTGAAGGGGTCTCTCTTTGCCCAGGAGCGATCAGTTACATAAGGTTTGGGTAAAAGCTTGCAGCTGTAATGTAGGTCATCTCTGAGTAAGATTAAGTGACGGGTCACTAGGTGGGGGCTTTAGGCCACTACATCTTTGTGAGGGTTGCCAGAAGTATGGATTCACGCTGAGCATGTCAATCTGAGATGAGAGGACTGCCCTGTGCCGCCTCATCTTCTCCCTTATTATCATGTTCTCAGATCGTGTACGGCAGCAACTTTCACAGCTTGACAAGCTTCACTTCCTTTTATCTTTTCCCTCTGATCATGTTCTGCCCATCTGTCAAGTGCCGCAGAACATGTGAAGCGGTGGTATTTTCTTCTCTCCAAATGTTGTCAGCTAATAGCGTCAGAGAAGTTTTAATCACCCTAATGGAAGTATTTTTTTCCCCAATTAGATAGCTTCCAAGTCACTTTGGTTGTGAAAGGCTGCATGGCCAAAGAAGCCATACTTTTAATTGGTAGGTTACTAAAACTGTACATTTAAAACTATTAGATCTTTAAAATATGGCCGACAAAAGGTCCACATTTTCCACGTCTATCTAGAGTGTCAAAATCCCTCCAGAGAAAGTGTGTGTTCACTCCCAGTTAAAATGTTGTCTAAAAACAATAAACAAAAATGGATAAATGCAGCAACTTTTGTTTCATGGGAAGATGCATTAGTGGGTGATTTATTGTTAAAATCCTCCATTTTGTTCTTTTCCTTGTTTTAGAATCCTGTAGTGTTTTATGTTCCTGCAGAGCTGGGCCGGGGATGAGCTGTATGAGGATTGGGGATGATCCCGGGCAGTTTGAGATTCTTGTTTTGGTTTGGCCCAGCAAACCCAATAAACACTGAAGGCATTTGAGAGCTCCCATATCCCTGGCAACAGCAGTCTTAGCTACGTAAGATTTAGATGAAGTAAATTAATAGTGATCGGCAGCGATCTCTCTCTTGTCTCTCCAGTGGATAAAAAGCCAACCAACGAGGCGGTGGCTGAGTACCTGGAGGGAAGAAAGAAGTACGAAGAGCAAAGGAAACAAAAACTGAAGAAAGGCTCAAACAGAGAAGCGCAGGTAAAAAGACTCAACATGAGGTCATTTTTTTTTTACTGAACTTGAAATAGAAATCATTTCAGCAGAGTGATGGAGACACTGTATGTTCTAATGGCGTCCAATGTTTTCGCCTTGTAGACTCTGGCCCTTCTCAATCAGTTCAAGTCCAAGCTGTCGTCCGCCATCACTGAGGCTCCAGAGGACGACGTGGAGGAGCTGGCAGAAGACGACGACAAAGGATGGTCAGTGAGCCTGATATCATTTAAGATAAATCTCTTTTTTTTTATTTCCTTGGCTTCATCTGTCACTGTAGACCCCGTTGTCAGGTTTTGTTTAAGTTTATTTGCCTATTGATACGGAAAGTCAGACACGTGTCCAACCATCAGATCCACATCTTTCCCAGAATCAATACCATTATTCTCACTGCAACACACTCTCATGCTTTGCTTTTTATAAAGCTGCAGCGATCAGTCGATTTTAAAGGACAAAATCATCCAAAAATGATCATACATGTTCAGTTTCAATACAAACTGGATGTTATAACCTTCATGCAGGGAGGATTTACTGCAGGACTGTTGTATTAGACTGCACCAGTTTTAGCTAGGTGTACCTAATAAACTGCCAACTTGAAAGAGTTTGAAAGACATGGACATGTATAAGGCAGAAAGGAGCCAATGAAAGATGCTATAGAGATGCATTATGGGAAGTGTACGATCCAGTTTTTTTGTTTTTTTTTTTAAGTCTGACTTATAGCCTAAAATTTACTGTCCTGTAGAAGTTTAGCATTTCTTACTTTATCTGCAATTTTTAATTATTAAAGGGGCTATATGTAAGTTTTGCCATTGCTACATAGCTAACATTAGCATTAGCAGCTGTTTACTTACCAGTCTAGAAGAAATGTTGCGAGTTCAGTATCAAATTTTATTCCTTTACTGAACAACAGCTGTTTCCAGTGATGGAAAGCAACCCTATTGTTTTACCTCTATTTCTATCACTTCTTTTTTCATATTGAAGTTAGCATGCTAACCAGCTAGCCCCTGTCACTTTCCAATACCGAGTCACTGGAGCGTCTAGTCTGCCTTGAAGAGGATGTATTATAACCTCTTGTCTTGTAAAAGTAACACTGACTGAAGCTCTTGGCAAGACTGGTAAGTAAACAGCTGTTAATGCTAACGTTAGCTATGTAGCAATAGCAAAACTTACAGAGGGCTCCTTTAATTTTATACAGCCTAAACTGCGGCCACATTTTGTCAGTATTTTATGATAAACTTACAGAGTATAAATGCTTATGCCTCTGAATAGAAGGAATACTGGATCACCAAAGACAGGATAAAATGGCTAATAAAATAATTCATATATTAGTAGCAGCATGTGAGCGCACCAGAGTCCTGACTGCTCCTGGAGAGTTCAAGAAGCACTTTGGCAAACACGTTGTTTTATGGACGGCGAACTGCAAGCATGACAAGTTGGCACGAAAAAGCCTTTTTCATTAGCCTCTGCTGGTTTACGTTGTGTTATTCTATTGACACACTGGGCTGTAAGAGATTGTGAAAGAAAGCTTTTATTTTAATAGTAAGAGAAGCGTAGATGAGACGGTAAACTGGTCAGATATTGCAGAAAAACCTCCCTTTGTACTGGGGTGGATGAAGCTGACCTTTGTCGGATCCAGGCCTCGCTTCAGGCTCTGATAAATGTGTGTGAAAGTTCAAGTTGTACGCATGCGTGTGTGTGTGTGTGTGTGCGTGCATGCATGTGTGTCAAGTTGGGATTTCAACCCGCAGCCACCAGATTGGCCATCAGGAAATCAGCCCTGACGCTGTGTTTTCCTCTCATATTCTGTTTTTCACCAAAGATCTCAAACTCTAACTACACAGAGTGAGGGTTTGAAATGAATACCATGTGTTTGAATTTGAGCAAAGTGTCTGTGTGTGAGAGAGATTTAGAATAACAAAATCTGTAGTTGCTATTAGTCTCGAGAAAGCCCCCTTGAAGTGTAAGTCTGTCTGTGTGTGGGGGCCCTAATGAATTTGAGAGAAGCCTTGGCTGGTGTTCGGGGCCTCTGCCAGGTCGTAGACACCTCACTGTGCCCTCCCCCGCCAGGTATGGTGAGGAGGGAGGGACAGGGGCAGTAGCATAGCAGTCCTAGAAAAACACCAGTGGGAAGTCTGTGCCACTCTAGGAGCACTGCGAACAGAATGTGGGTTACAACAGGTCAGACATTAGAAGTCAAGTCTGGGCCAGAGGAGGTAAACTATTCCATCTGTGTCTGTGTCTACAAATTCTGACTCTCCCTCTTCTGCCCCCCCCCCAGCCTCTGCTAACACACAACCTCACAGAGTCCACACTCTCAACGCAAAGAGGCCGCCGTTGCTCTCACCATCACTCCTGTACTCCTTAATCTCCCACCCACTGCTTCAGTAAAAATAAAAAAAGATAAATAAATAAATAAATAAATAGAGGAGCGTCTCCTGTAGCCTCGCATCACGGCAGCACAGGGTGGTTTTGATAAGGCCCGAACGCCGAGTTTCCACATCACGTCTCGGAGCTGTGTGACTCTGAGGCTGCGCGGCCGGCCGACTGTCATCACCGAGACTGCTAGACAAATTATCAGAGGCGGCCCGCTCACACAGCAGGAGTCCTCAGGGTCTGCCAGAGTCTAGCCATGACATTCTAGATGAGCTGTCACAACTCCTGCCGATTTCAAATGAACACGGGAGAAAGTGCAGAGCTCACACACACACACACACACACACACACACCCAAACTGCGCACTCAGCCAGAGACAGGAGCAGACATATACCACATACAGTAGACGAGGCATCAAACGCAACATATTTTAAAATGTACAATAATGAGTTTAATGCAGTTTCTGTATTTAGTGCAGCCAGTTTGAAACACACTGGTGCTACAGTCTACACACTGTTGATGATCAAAGATGAAGGGAAGGTTCGAAGATTGTAACATAAAACAGTGTGAGCAAAAGTTTTAGGCAGTAAGAGTGAAGTGAGGATGGTGTTAAAATAATCCCATGAGTAGTTTTTATTTATCAATCAAACAATCAAAGTCAAATTTGCCGTGCTAGTATTAAACTTGTAAAATTGTAAAATATAAAATTGATGGTACTGGACAATGTAATCGCAACGTCCGCTCTTTCTCCATCCTCATTTCCTGTCACACCTTTTCCATCTACTACCAAACAAGGCGGAAAGTCTCTTTAACCTTCGTTTGAATGTGTTCAAACAAGATAAAAAGTCGGGTTTCGTTAAAGAACCTTGAACGCCTTAAAGACCGTCGTAGTGTTGCACTCAATTGTAGAAAAGTGACAGCAGCTGTTATGTAATGAAACGAAAGAGAGCTTAGTTTAATGTGGCAGATGCAGTTTAACATCATTCCAATACGAAGCGTGAAACTGAGAGTTTATAGCACAGTTTTTACGCTCAGTGTAATTAAAACAGTCAATCTTCATTATCACAAACCCACAATACACTGCACATTCAAGAGTCGAGTAAAATACTGTATCGAAATGCATTGATTATGATGCACAGTCTAAGGAGAGACGACAACTGATAACATCATACAATGAGAGAGACGTTCACAACTTAGATCCTTTTCTCAACTCGCCAGTCGCTGCATGACGTGGGTGGGAATGTTGGATTGTCAGTTTTCGGAAAGTCACAGAACTGAGACATAAAAGTAAAGTATTAGACAAATTGACATTTTGACGGGATGATGTTAAACCATAAATGTCAACCTGAAGGTAGCGCTAGAAGAAAAAAAGTCAGGGGATCAACAAAGTCATTGGGATTCACCCTCTGGGGAACATGAATGTCTGTACAAATTGTCATGGTATTCCATCACATGGTTGTTAAGGTATTTCAGCCTGGAGCAAAGCGGTGGACAGACAGACAGACTGACTTTGCCATCCCTAGAGCCACGCTGCTATCGTGGCCAAAAAGTTTTTCCTGTCCACAACAGAATCCAACATCTTTCAGTTATTTCTGATTCTTGATTTTTTTTTTTTTCTTTTTTTTTTTTCCACTCAGCCCTGGACGCAGGAGACGTAGCCTCTCAGCGGGGCTAAAAAAAAATTAAAAAAAAAATAAAAAAGGATCCTTGCAATTGATTAGTCTTGCAATTGATTGTTGTTTAGATTTGCAGAGAGAGCTTTCGTGCAGGAGCTGGAGAAATCCTGTCAGTGGGAGAAACTGTGTTTTATCTGTGAAGTGCCTGACACTGATATCTCCTGTGAGGAATGTCCTGATTCTTTAATCTCTCTTTGGGGGAACAGAAAGTGACTGGGGAAATGAAAGACACATGACCGTCTGTTCTCCGGGGACTAGGGCTTTCACTCAGGATTTTTTTTTTTTTTTTTTTGACTGCTAAGATGTCTCAAAAATATGACCCCAATACTGTATTTCTCATTTTAAGTGAGAGAAATCGTTCCGATACTTCTTTTCCTACAGTTTGAGCAGCAGTATTAATAAGGTCTCAAGACTCAGAATCGTGTTTTGACCATTTTGTCTGGACACCCCCGTGTCTTTAAATTCCAACAGGGCTTAAAATCTGAGTTCAAAACACTTTGTGTGACCTAGGCTTAACATGGCTGTATATTGGCTTCCCACTGACAGCAATACAGAATATTTTGGAAATGTTTTGGGTTTAGTCCAAGAGGACAAAGTTCAGGCGATCGCTTGGACGCAGCTGTGTACAGATTTACTTCAACCTCCATCTTGGTAGTAATTTAAAGCTGCACTAATCAATATTTTTATATTCACAATGGATCACGTGACTGTGTGTACAGTTAAAAGTTGCTCTTTGTGATGAACCCACAAACTCCGCAGTTCCTCTCAGCTCTGCAGAGAATTTTAGCATCTTTTACCTCATTACTTTTTGGCCTGCAAATGTACCGTTCTGCTTCAGTCTCACTGCTCTTATCAGCCGTGTTTTCATCTGCAGCAGGCAGCTGTTTTCAAAGAAGCTGCTCTGAAGTACTAACTGTAACAAGCTCAGCACTAAACAGCAGATAATGTTAGAAACCAGCTGGTGAACACAGTGCAGCATTTAGCATCTAAAAGGACAGATATTTTCAACTCAATTCAGTTTTATTTGTATAGCACCAAATCATAACACACATTATCTCAAGGCACTTTGCAGGGGAAGGTGAAGACCTTACAATATTATGGGAAAACCCAGCAGTTCCCTCAATGAGCAACACTTGGCGACAGTGGGAGGAAAACTCCCTTTTAACAGGTAGAAACCTAAATATTTCCCTCGGAGATAAAAGGAGAGTGAACATTGGACTTAAATTCATCAGTGGACACAAACAGGATAGAAATGAATGTTAATGTTTCTCCATGTCTGCTGGATGTTTAAGTTAGCAGCTGTTTGCTAACACATACGCCATAACAACTCTACGAGGTGATGTCAGATGTTGTGTTTCCATGTTGTCGTCGCCGTGTACGTCATTTCTTTCCATTAGCATGATGAATATTTTACAGATTGGTCTCTTTGAAATCACCCTTTATATAGAGCAAGAACACTTTCCAGTAAATATACAGAGGCACCTGCAGAGGTGCGAAGAGGTCACTGATTGAACTGAAGGGAGATCAGTCACAGACTTAACTAAACTTGGCGAAAAGTCTCAAACTCAAGACGCAAGAGAACTGCAGTGCAATAATTTACTATTTACTTAAAATGAATCAACCGGCTTGGCTTAGCTTTTAGCACTAGCTTGTCGACCACTCTGCAACACCAACATGACATAACATTCACAGTATGCTAACGCATGAATGCATAACACTTAGCCAGTAATGTTTTTATTGCTTCATGCTTTTAATGTTCTGTTTTCTCTTATTTTACTGTCTGTTTAATCTTTTTTCTGCCTGTTCTTCAATTAGTTTTAATGTTTTTTGAAAATATATAGATGAAGTTTGTCATTATTATCTTATTTGTTATGTGCAGAATTATAGAAATGGTCTCTCAAATCCAAGTTTGTCCCATTTTTAGATGGTAATAATATTGTAATCAGACTGAAAGCAGAAAGAGAGCAGCTTCTCTAGATAAAAGTTCTGCAGAGCAGTGATTTAGTGGTTCCTCTCCTGCGGTTCTTTGAACTCTCTCCACCCCTCTCTCCATCTGATTTAGGATGGGCCATGTTCTGCAGTTTGATGAGCAAACCAGAAAAGTCAAGGATGCCAACATGCAGGACGAGGACACGTTTGAGATCTACGACCCGCGCAACCCTGTCAATAAACGGAGGAGAGAGGAGAGCAAGAAGATCATGAAGGAGAAGAAGGCCAAAAGGTGAGGTCGCGAGGTCGGAGGTCAGGTCCCGCCCAAGCCACGTGATTGAAGAACTGGTCATACAGCATCCTGCCTGTCCGCTTTTCCACCACTTCAAAAACCTCCAGCTTTTGTTGAACAGTCTCCTGGCTCGAACATCTGGATTGAGGAAACTGACCTGAGCGCATACCATCCCTGTAATCTGTGATGGAAAGGCTTCTTCCCTTGGAACAGCTGCACCCAGACAGCGCTCAGTTACTCATCAGGATTAAGACTGTGGTTGCTGTAATGGTTAAGGTCGTGATTTGATTCTGTGTAATGCTGTTAACGTTTTTATGGCAGTTTAGCTTTTTGTTTTTGTTGTCTAGTGTTAAATGTGAGCATCAGACAGAAAAATAAATTACATTTATTAACAAGATATAATGATTTGACTCTGTTCTCTATTTTTATTTTAAATAATTGAACGCTGAGTGGCCACTTTATTAGGTACACCTGTACAATCTAATGCAATCCAGTGCAACAGCCATAATTTAACGATCTTCACAAAGCTCGTAATGTTCAGTTTTTGTGTAAATGTTAAAATTGAATTATAAGTTTATTACTGAGGTTATAGTTAAAGGGGATGATGTAGTGGAGAGGTGTTTCTAATGTTCTGTCCTTCCCATTGACAGTTATGCCAGTTGCAGCCTTCTGAGCCAGAAGACCTGAGCTGTGTCCACTCACTCATATTCTACATGTTTAACAATAGTTTTCCCTGTAGTGAGCAGTAGATTTAAAAGGTTTCTGACACTTATGAATAATCATTTTGCACCATGAATGACAGAATTATTTTAGTTTGTAATAAACAATGAATAACTTACAAGTACGCAGCCCACATGGACTTATGAGACAGCAAAAATACAGTTGCCATGGTGATACATTTATCAGACAAAAACATGACTTCTTATATAAAACACTGGAATGCAAACAATAAACTTTGTCTCCTGCCTCAGACTTTTTTGTGGCAGATGAGATTATTGAACTTAAAACAAATCATTATATAACGAGCAATTAAAAAAAATGAACTGGACTTGCCCACGTCAGATGAGAAAAGACTTTCTTCATCAGTGTCAAACACCTGTGATTTCACATCTGTGTGAAAGTGAAAGTGTCGCATGTTGATGGATAAGACATATATCATATAACCAACCCCTCCCTGCATCCACTGTCTGTATTTCTCTACTGTTACTATCTACATGAAGACAATATGCTAAAAATAAACAACAACTTTGGACACTCAAATAAAATGGTGGAAATGAATTGCACAAGATGTGTCTGCTGTATTGACCTTTCCTACCTTTTATAGCTCAGGTGCTCATAATATTGGTTCTTTCGTTAACCTGGTGAGAAGCAGCGAGTTGCAGTGGAGTTTCAGAGTAAAAAGTTTTCTCAAGGTAAAACAGCAGCACCGATACTGCTACCTATAAATAATACTTTGGAAAAGGCCATTAATGAAAAGCCTGGTGCTACTTAAATGTGAGGACACCTCGCTTCACAACAGCGGTTTTTACTGGATTAAATGAATAGTTCAACATTGTGGGAAATACACTTCTTTGCTTCAGGGGGAGATGAAAAGATCAACAACACTCTTGTTTGGCTTGGTTTAGCTTAGCATAGCTCAGCATAAAGACTGGAAACAGTTAGCCTGGCTCTGTTCAGAAGGAATAAAATCCACCTACCAGCACGTCTACAGCTCATAACTAACATAATTCATCTTGTTTGTTTAATTTTTAAAGAAAACAAAGTGTAAAAACCAAGGTTTGGTTTTGTGAGGGGATATTTGTGCAACATTTTTTTCCACTCTTTCTGCTAAGCTAGGCTAATTGGCTGTGGAGCAAGGGAGTAGGTTTGGTCTCAACATTGGTAGGGACACAACAACTCTGCCACCCCTCCAAAACAAAGAGATTGACTTTTTAATGCCATCAACCGAACAGTTGATTGACATATAAAATCTGAATTTATATTCAGGAATACCCATACACAAATGTAATATATGTACATGTGTTGAATTTCCATATATGAAATATATGTACATATGAAGTAAAATCATATATGTATTGAAAATCACATACATTAAAGCACAAAAGGTCATACTATAGTAAGGCATAAAAAAGTCTTAGTGTAGTAAGGCATAATAATGTCATAAGAAAATGATAGAATAGAAAAAAAGTCATGGTATCATAAGGCATAAAAATGTCATGCTATATTAAGGCATGAAAACATCGTAGTATAGTAAAGCATAAAGTTTCATTGTTACGTGCTGTAGTATTGTGTATCTGTGTATGTGTGCTGGTCTGCCCTCTGCCCAACGCTTTTCTCCGCCAGGTGACTCGGCACGGCTATCCCTGATCCCCAATCAAGAGATGGAGGTATATAGGCGGATCGAGTGAGTGATTGTTCGGCGCCAAAGTGCCATCCAGCAGCTGTGGAACTGTCTGTATGTGTGTCTTATCCGTGAGATAGCTGTGTGGAGCTATAGTGGTTATCCACGCTGATATTGATAGTGATCCTATCCAGTGGTTATTGTTTATTTGGTTTGTCTTAGTTTTTAGGTTTCTATTGTGGTTTCTTTTTCTTTTGTGAATAAAATTATATCTTTGTTTGGCTCTATCGGTTTTCCTGTTTATTTTCTATTTTGCAAAGTTCATTTTGTTCATTTTTACTTTCCTCAACCCCTGGACTCTTTCCAGGAATTTAACAGTCATAATATAATAAAGCATAAAAAATGTCAGGGTATAGTAAAGCATGACAAATTCATAGTATAGTAAGGCATAAAAACATCATAGTACAGAAAGGCGTAAAAAAGTCATAGTATATTAAGGCATAAAAAAGTCATCGTATGATAAAAAGAAAAAGACATAATATGATAAGGAATAAAAATGTGAAAAAACGTCATACTATAGTAAGGTATAAAAATGTGAAAAAAAAGTCATATATTAGGGCATAAAATTCTTTTAAAAAAAAAGCATAGTATAGTAAGGTATAAACATATGAAAAAAGAAGTCATAGTATAGTAAGGCATAAAAATGTGAAAAAAAGTCATAGTATAGTAAGGCAAAAAAATGTGAAAAAACATCATAGTATAGTAAGGCAAAAAAATGTGAAAAAACGTCATAGTATAGTAAGGCAAAAAATGTGAAAAAGCGTCATAGCATAATAAGGCATAAAAATTTGAAAAAAAAAGTCATAGTATAGTAAGGCATAAAAATGTGAAAAAAACGTCATAGTATAGTAAGGCAAAAAAATGTGAAAAGACGTCATAGTATAGTAAGGCAAAAAAATTTGAAAAAACGTCATACTATAGTAAGGCAATAAACGTCATAGTATAGTGAGGCATAAAAATTTGAAAAAAAAAGTCATAATATAGTAAGGCAAAAAAATGTGAAAAAACGTCATAGTATAGTAAGGCATAAAAATTTGAAAAAAAAGTCATAATATAGTAAGGCAAAAAAATGTGAAAGAACGTCATAGTATAGTAAGGCATAAAATG